TTTCTAACTCTATGAAGAATTGAGTTGGAATTTTGTTGGGAATTGCATTGAATCTGTCGAGTGTTTTCAGCAAGGTGGATGTTTTTACTATATTAATCCTGCCAATCATTGAGCTTGGGAGATCTTTCAATCTTCTGAGATTTTCTTTGATTTCTTTCTTCAGAGACTTGAAGTTCTTGTCATATAGATCTTTCCCTTGCTTGGTTAGATTCACACCAAGGTACCTTATATTATTTGTGAGTATTGTGAAGGGTGTCATTTCCCTAATTTCTGTCTCAGCCTATTTATCCTTTGAGTAGAGGACGGCTACTGAATTGGTTGAGTTAATTTTATAACCTGCCAATTTGCAGAAGTTGTTTATCAGGTTTAGGAGTTCTCTGGTGAAATTTTTGTTTCACTTAAGTATACTATCATATCATCTGCAAATAGTAATATTTTGACTTCTTCCTTTCCTATTTGTATCCCTTTGACCTCCTTTTGGTGTCTGATTGTTCTACCTAAAACTTCAGATACTATATTGACTAGATAGTGAGAGAGTGAGCAGCTTTGTCTAGTCCTTGATTAAGCAGAATGGCTTCAAGTTTCTCTCCATTTAGTTTGATGTTAGCTGCTAGTTTGCTGTATACTGCTTTTATTATGTTTAGGTATGGGCCTTGAATTACTGATCTTTCCAAGACATACAGTGAAGTGCTTTTGAATTTTGTAAAATGCTTTTTCAGAATCTAATGAAATGATCATGTGTTTTTTTTTCTTTTATTTTGTTTATGCACTGGATTAAGTTGATAGATTTCCATATAGTGAGCCATTCCTGCATCCATAAGATGAAGCCTATTCCATCATGCAAATTGAGAGTTTTGATGTGTTCTTTTATTTGGTTTACAAGAATTTTATTGAGTGTTTTTGCATTGATGTTCATAAGGGAAATTAGTCTGAAGTTCTCTTTCATTGTTGGGTCTTTGTATGGTTTAGATTTAAGCATAATTGTGACTTCATAGAATGAATTGGATAGTGTTCCTTCTGTTTCTATTTTGTGGAATAGTTTGAATAGTATTAGTAGTAGGTCTTCTTTGAAGGTCTGATAGAATTCTGCACTAAACCCATCTGGTCCTGGGCTTTTTTGTTTGGGAGACTTTTAATGGCAGCTTTTATTTCTTTAGGGGTTATGAGACTGCTTATATGGTTTATCTGCTCCTGATTTAACCTTGGTATCTGATATCTGTCTAGAAAATTGTTCATTTCATCCAGATTTTTCAAATTGGTTGAGTATAGGCTTTGTAGTAGCATCTGATGATTTTTTGAATTTCCTTGGTTTCTGTTGTTATGTCTTCTTTTTCATTTCTGATTTAATTAATTTGGATACTGTATTTGTACCCTCTGGTTAGTCTGGTTAAGGGTTTATCTATCTTATTGATTTTCCCAAAGAACCAGCTCCTGGTTTTGTTGATACTTTGTATAGCTCTTTTTGTTTCTACTTGGTTGATTTCAACCCTGTGTTTGATTGTTTTCTGCCATCTACTTTTTTTGGGTGTATTTGCTTCTGTTTGTTCTAGAGCCTTCAGGTGCACTGTCAAGCTGCTAGTGTATGCTCTTTCCAGTTTCTTTTTGTAGGCAGTTAGAGATATGAGTTTCCCTCTTAGCACTGCTTTCATTGTGTCCCATAAGTTTTTGTATGATCTGTCTTTATTTTCATTAAATTCTAAAACGTCTTTAATTTCTTTTTTCTTTTAATTTCTTCCTTTACCAAGTTATCATTGAGTAGCGTATTGTTCAGTTTCCATGTGTATGTGGACTTTTCCGTTGTTTCTGTTGTTATTGAAGACCAGCCTTAGTCCATTATGATCTGATAGGATACATAAGATCATGTCAATCTTCTTGTATCTGTTAAGGCCTGATTTGTGACCAATTATATGGTCAGTTTTGGAGAAAGTACCATAAGATTTTGAGAAGAAAGTATGATTTTTTTGGTTTAGGATGAATTTTACTATAAATATCTGTTAAATCCATTTGGTCCATAACTTTGATTAGTTTCACTGTATTTTTGTTAAGTTTCTGTTTCCATGATCTGTCCATTGCTAAGAATGGAGTATTGAAGTCACCCACTATTATTGTGTGAGGTGCAATGTGTGCTTTGAGCTTTAGCAAAGTTTTTTTTATAAATGCCGGTGTCCTTTGAAGCATAGATGTTCAGAATTGAGATTTCATCTTGGTTTATTTTTCCTGTGACGAGTATGAAGTATGAAGTATACTTCCTTATTATTTTTAATAACTTTTGGTTGAAAGTAGATTTTATTTGATATTAGATTGGCTACTTTAGTCTGTTTCTTGGGCTCATTTGCTTGAAAAATTGTCTTCCAGCCTTTTACTCTGAGGTAGTGTCTGTCTTTGTCACTTAGATGCATTTCCTATATAAAGCAAAATGTTGGGTCCTGTTTACGTATACAGTCTATTAGACCATGTCTTTTTTAATTGGGGAATTAAGTCCATTGATGTGAAGAGATATTAAGGAAAAGTGATTGTTGCTTCCTTTTATTTTTATTGTTGGAGGTGGAATTATGTTTGTGTGAATATCTTCCTTTGGGTTTGTTGAAAGATTATTTTCTTGCTTTTTCTAGGCTGTAGTTTCCCTCCTTGCTTGGAGTTTTCCATCTATTATCCTTTGTAGGGCTCAATTTGTGGAAAGATATTGTGTAAATATGGTTTTGTCATGGAATATCTTGGTTTCTCCATCAATGATAATTGAGAGTTTTGCTATGTATAGTAGCCTCAGCTGGCATTTTTGTTCTCTAAGGGTCTGTATGACATCTGCTCAGGATCTTATGGCTTTTATAGTCTGTGGTCAGATATCTGGTGTAATTCTGATAGATCTGCCTTTATATGTTACTTGACCTTTCCCCCTTATTGCTTTTAATATTCTTTCATTGTTTTGTATATTTGGTGTTTTGATTATTATGTGACTGGAGGAATTTCTTTTCTGTTCAATTCTATTTGGAAGTCTATAAGCTTCTTATGGGCATCTCTTTCTTTAGGTTCAGTTTTCTTCTATAACTCTGTTGAAGATATTTACTGGCCTTTTAATTTGGGAGTCTTCACTCTCTTTTATACCTATTATCCTTAGGTTTGGTCTTCTCATTGTGTTCTAGATTTCCCGGATGTTTTATGTTAGGAGCTTTTTGCATTTTGCATTTTCTTTGACTGTTTTGTCAATGTTTTCTATGTTACCTTCCGCACCTGAAATTTTCTCTTCTATCTCTTGTATTCTGTTTGTGATGCTTGTATCTATGACTCATGATCTCTTTCCTAGTTTTTCTATCTGCATAGTTGTCTCCCTTTGTGATTTCTTTATTGTTTCTATTTCCATTTTTACATCCTGGATGGTTTTGTTCAAGTTGTGTTTTCCTGTAATTTTTAAAGGTATTTTTGTGTTTTCTCTTTAAGGATTTTCAACTGCTTACCTATATTCTCCTGTAGTTTTTTAAGTGAATTATTTTTGTCCTTCTTAAAGTCATCTATCATCATCGTGACAAGTGATTTTAGAGCCAAATCTTGCTTTTCTGGTGTGATGGTGTATCCAGGATTTGCTGTGGTATGACAACTGGGTTCTGATGATGCCAAGTAACCTTGGTTTCTGTAGCTTATGTTCTTACCCTTGCCTCTCACCATCTGGTTTTTCTCTAGCTCTACCTGGACTCGCTGTCTCTGACTGGTGCCTGTCCCTCCTGTGATCCTGATTGTGTCAGAACTCATCAGAGTCCAGCTGTCTCTGTCATCTATGATTCTGGTATCCTGTGATCCTGAGATCCTATGTTTGTCAGAGCTCCTAGGAATCAGGCAGTTTCTGTGATTCTGAAATTTTGGTGTGACCAGGCTCTTCAGGTCCTGCTATCTTATGATCCTGGGCATGTTAGAGCACCTGAGAGTCGAGTTTCTCCTGTGTGTTGTGAGAGTGGATATGGAGCTAGCACTGAATGTCTGCTCAGGGCATCAACTAAGACCAGAAGGAACCCGTGCCACTGGCTGGGCAGGGCAGGCCTTCCCATGTCCCTGGATGCTGTTGGTCTCAAATACTCCTGGTGTTGGGGCAGATGTTGTAGCTTCCTCACCTATGAGCCTGGGCATATTAGAATGCCTGGGAGTGGCACTTCCTCTGGATATTGTAGGACTGAGTGTGGAGCTAGCACCCAAGTTCTGCTCAGGGCACTGGCTCAGACCACATGTAATTCTAATTAAGTATTTCAAGTTGTTGTAAGAAGGCTCCATCTAAATTTGTTGCAAGGGATTATTTTAAATGAATACATTGATAAGAAGTATTAAAATTCTATAGCATTTATATAAAAATTAAAGATTGATTTATAAACACAATGATTTACCTATTTCCAATAAAAATATTTCTGAGGAGCGACAATGTTTGTTGAAATTATCTCAGACATAAATATTTTATATTTGATATCATAGTATGTGTTCTTATTGAGATAATATCTGAGGCCTGGCTACTATTACAAAAAAAATTATTTGTAAGACTTAAACAGATGGCAGGCATACTGGATCATGGGAACACTTAAAAAAATAGAAGCCATGAAGAAGGGGGGGGTACATGGAAAACAATGGAAGGGGGAAATAAAGGGAAATAATATAACTATATTTTAATTTCCAAAAATAACAAATGAATAAGGAGAAGAAGAAATGCCTTTCTGTATTCCTAGTGACTTTTATTATGGATGCTTCTAGTGTTCACACTTTATACTCCATATGATGAAAGAGATATTTTGTAACACTTCCTGTTAGATATTAATTTCATCATGAAGGACTGTGCACAAATGAACTCACCTAATTCATGAAAGTTTTTATATATGTCTAGACAACATCTCATTGGACTCTCTGCAGTGTGAGAAAGTTGCTGCCCATGCTAGGGTGAAACATTTCCGTGGTGCCTGCTTCGGGGTCACATATGCTCCAGTAACGCTTACCCTGATTGATTCACTGTAGCCAATTTGGGTTTAGAGATGGTCTTTGGGCTGGAAATGAAGGACGTAGATCCTGTCAATCACTGCTATGCTCTCTTTATCAAATTAGGTCTCACCTATGATGGGATGCGCAGTGATCAGTATAGCTTTCCTAAGAGTGGTCTTCTGATAGTCATCCTGGGTGTAGTCTTCATGAAGGGCAACCGTGCCACTGATGAGGAGATTTGGGAAGCATTGAATCCAGTGGGTATCTGTGCTGGGATAAATCATTTCATCTTTGTTGACCCTAGAGAGCTGATAACTGGTGAGTTTGTGAGGGAGAAATACCTGGAATACCAGCCAGTAGCCAATAGTGATTTTGTGCAGTATGAATATGTGTGGGGAATAAGAGCTAAAGCTGAAACTAGCAAGATGAAAGTGTTTGAGTTTGTGGCCAAGGTTCGTGAGTCACACCCTACTGCATTCCTGTCTCAGTATGAAGAGGCTCTGATAGAAGAAGAAGAGAGAACCCTTACCATGATATTACAGCAAGCTGGCCCAAGTTCTACTCCTGGTGAAAGTTCTAGTGATACGAGCAGCGACTTCCCTAACATCTAGTACAATCAGAGATAAATTACTTCTGAATAATTTACAGAATTTTTAGAGTTGAGGGGGAAAACGTAGGACCTAGGTTGATATAGAAAGAAGGGAGAGTCTTACCTGCAGAGTATTTGTATAAGTATCATGCCATTTTTCTCTCATTGTTTACCCTTTATATTTGAATGTACTTGCTCTTAGAAGCATTGTTGTTTAGTTTCAAAATCCCTACTTAATACCATTCACAAATTTAATAATGAGAGCTGTGTCATAACATAAATCTAATTGAGAAATAATCTCATCTATCTGTACAGCTATCTGGGATAGCAAAACATGTGTTTCCTAAGCTTCTATCTTTTAAACATTTTGTTCTAATTATTTTCTTTCTACATTTTCATTTCTCAGTAAAATTACATGCTCCCTTGTAGAGTTGTTTACTTTATAGTTGCCAAGGGTAATAAAATTCAAAAAATTAAAAAAAAATCTCATTGTAAATTAAGATACCCTTACATAATTTTGTGGAGATGATGTCTACATTAATTGTTAAAGACCAGATTATAAGATAAAATATATTAATTTTTAAACTGTCCTTCATATAAAAGTACCAGAAATTTCTCTGTATACAATACATGTCAAGTAAATACAGATTTTTTTTCATATGCCAGCATGGTATCATAGGTATTTTTGATACAGTTAAATGTCTAATTTCCATTCCATTTGCCTACCTATGATCTGGCTTTTCCATCTTCCTGACAGGTATGTATTATTTTGTTTCTATCAAAGAAATAACAAATTCAGACTAAAAATTAGTAAGTAAGTGTTAATATAACAGTCACATAAATCACAGCACTAATAAAACGGAAAGATAAGATTAAAAGTAATTTATAGTATTACAATTTTATATGAGATTTTTAGAAAATAAAATTTTTGGTACAGCAGTAATATTATGTAAATAAGACAGACTAAAAAAATAAAAGGAAGGAGAAACATTTTATTGTAATAGAAAGGGTATATAATTTCCTCCTGATATTTGGAAGCTAGGTTAATTGTGGAAAATCTTAACAGTAGTATAGAATACACATACAGTTATCCTTAGTGTTAATATTGACAATATTATTTAAAACAATTAGAGAATGTGCATTATTTACCCCATGAAAACAAAAATAAACATCAATTGTGTAGACATTAATGACATTTCAAAATATTTAAAGCAATTTGTAGGAGTCCCAATTTTCTGGCTATTAGGCTATATCAAAATTATTTGCTTTTACAATTTTTATATATTAATATTGTCAAGCAAAGTTATGAGATTAGAACACTCAATTTATTATTTGAAGACACAATTAAATTCAATGTAAAGTATTGTTTTGTAACAATAGCTTAAGGCCTTTATCTTTCCATACTAGATTCACATAATAGTAAATAAGAAAAATTGAGAAGATATGTCTTATACCTCAAGCTTAGTAACACCTACATTTGTCCAATAAAATCTGGAATTTTGAGGTTATTCAATTTATATTCATCCATTGAACACAATTTCTTGAACACACAAGAGTCAATACTCAGGTTACAATTGTGAAAAAGGGCGGAAGGCAGTGATTATATATCTAATAGATAAGTAGAAATCTCTCATCCTTAAACAAGCAAATATTTAAAAAAGATGTGAGTATATAACATGTATCTGCAAACTAATGTAGAAAATTTTTAGGAGAAAATATAATTTCAACATACTTGTATGCTATGGTAATGCATACAAAATTTATCAGTGAGCCAACCAATTTTAAACAGTAGAAGTTGATCTCATTTCTCAGCAGTTACTCCTGCTTACTAAATCGAAATGTTCATTATTCTATGTGAGCACATATGCTATTTGTATACACTTGTCAATCTACACATAGAATGGAATAACTACTATAATACAGCAAGGAATTATGCCAACTGGAACAGTTTAAAAACAATATGTGTATCTCTTTAATTATGCCAAATATGTTCTTCTAGGACTCCTAGGAAGCATGCTTATTAAAGATCATTTTATAATTCATTTAAAATCATATACAGAGCTACAAAACAGAAAAATTAGCTTCTCCTTATTAGAATCTTTTGGAATAGTCTATATGAATTTCAGAAATAGAGAAATGTAAAATGTTTTATTTTTTTCCTTAGGTAGTTTATCTTTAGTTATTTTGTTTGTTTGGTTTTGCTGTTTATTTATTTTGATTTGTTTGTTTTGGTGTTTTTGTTTGTTTGGTTTTTGCTTTTAGGAATGTTTTGAGGATTCTTGAAACAATTTAGAGTCAAACAAATGTTGGGTTTGCGTTCCTGTTTTAAATAAAATCTACCTTAAACATAACGTTTTGTTGTTCGGACTTGGGCAACTCCAGGGCTGAGGCTGGATAATTGACCATCAGTCTGCATTTCGTAGAGAGCTGTACTGACAGAAAAACTAGCAAAGTACGTATGTTGCTTAAAACAAGAATGATTTATTTTATGATTGGATCCCTAAAAATAAAATCTGGTGTGGTACACTCACTATATTTATTGTCAAACAGGAATTCATATTTTTGGAGTGGGGGATTTTGACAATTGCAAAGCATTACTGAAGAATTTGGTAATCATAGGCTTTCCCCATATTTACATAGAAATAAATAACTAGACTATCACTAAATATTACCCTTTTGAACCTCTTGATGTTGTTACATTTAATTTTTGAAAATGAGGCTAAAAGATCACTGCTGTTGAAAGTAATAAAATGTAGAAAGTATCTGTCAGCTAGATTCATCACAGAATTGTACAAGTACTGAATTTTACCAAAGATTTATGGTAGAAATATTCCTGTAGTTCCAGTCATGATATCTAAAATTCTTATAAAATTTTTGGGTTTGAGGAAACAATATGGTAAATGGAATAGACACAGAAATTATTATGAAGATTTCACTTTATTGCCTACTGAATATTCTTCAATGTCTTACAATGCAGAGAAAGAGGTGACTGACATTATCACAGTGTTTTCTTCGTAAGGACTTTAAATAATACAAAGATTATTGAAACCATGGTCCTTAGAACAAAGACATAAATATATTTAATGTTGTATGTAATTTTTAATCTTAAATACAGTAATGCATGAGTGATACCAGTAAATAAATTTTAATTTTTCAGAGTCCTGATGTCTCCCAGATCCTAGGCTTATATCCAAAGGTAAGTATGGCTAGATATTGTATTTAATCCAATTAGATTATCTCTTGATATCTATGAACTTAATTTTTGCTATGTCACATATGCTAAATGTGTTTGTCAGCTGTGTCCATAATTTTATGAGATACTATGCATGTTTATAATTGTAATAATTATAAAAATATAGCTATGTATATATACATATATAAAAATTCCATATGTATACCATTTATGAGCTTGGAATTTGGTACTTACATTAAGATACAAGACACAGAAAAATGCAGGATTCATGAAAGCTGAGCATAGTACTAGTAGTTCTACTTTCCCCTAAATACAAGATACTTTGAGAATGCAAAAATTCTTTCCAGTGCAAAGAATGATGTTTTCTCCTTCCTAAAACTGATTATAATTTCTAGTGAATCATGTGTTTCATTTTTGTATTTGTTGAGTTTTTTCAGAGAGGGTTTCTCTACCCCAATAATTTATTTGCATGCTCTGTTCCTCAGATTTCAGAGTGGTGGGATTACATACATGTGTCACCATGTCTAGCTATGCATTTTTAATGACAGGAGAGAATTATTTCAGGTTTTTTATTGACAGGTATTACATTGGTGAGACTACCTTTATTTTGCCTTCCATTTAATAATTTTCAATATTACTAAAGGGTATCAATCTATCAAAAATTTAAAGAGAAATGAATAATATAATGAATTTATTTTTGTTCTGGGTATACATGGACAATTCATTTGATGCCTCATGATCAAGAGAATCAGTAGGGTCAGGTACATGTACAGACTCATGCTATGGTATGCATCCACCACAAAATGATGTCCGTGCTCTATATTGTTTTATACTTTCTAATATTCTACTTTTAAATCTTATAGATTCAACTATTTATCAAGTACCTCTTGATTTTTGGCTCTCAGTTTAAATTCCTAAGGATAAATGATCATTTTCTGTTGTTATTGACTATTTTTATATAAATGTATAGATACTTCCGATATTCTTTTCAGACATTCTTCTTCAAATCTGTTTATCATTGTTATTGAATAGTGAGAGATTATTTTGAAGTTTTATGATTTCTCACATCATTAACATACACTACAGTATTCAGCCACATGTGACACAGACCAGAGTCCACGGAATCTTGAGGGAAAATAAATAAATCTCTCTAGTTTATGGTGCTGTTAGAAAACGGTATGCCTACAGCTTTTGTATTGAATTAATTATCACATCAATTTTTTTAAACCTTGGGAGGGTTTACTGGAATATAACTTCATTGTAAGTCAAGCAACATAAGTATTTATAATTTCAAAGCTGATATGAAGAGTGTAGTTTAAAAAAATGTGAAATAAATAAAGGCAAACTCCTCAGGTTGAATGCGTAGTTATTTTGAATGACTTCTCCAGTAGTCCATCACTAATAACTCTCAATTCTTCTATCAGCATCCTGTCAGAACACTAGTAACTTCATCAGAACCTGAAAAAAAATGTTGTCTAAAGACTCTGCATCCCTAAAATCATCAATATGCATAGGCTGTCGGGAATCATTCATGTATGGTTGAACAAGAACTGTTTCAAAAGAGATGATTTAGGAATCTTACTAATATGAACATGACTCTCCCTTTATGGTCTTGTAAAATGCTTGAAGGGGGAGGGAGAACTATTTCTTTTCCTGAGTCAGCTTAGTTATGAATTCACTTACACACTTAATAAGCACATTTTGACTCACTCCTGTGCACAAGGTACTGTGCCAGGGTATAGAGATACAGAAATAATGAATTTATATGTGTCCTGTTCTTTAGAACATCACCAACTCTAGACATTGACATAAATTTTGCCAAATTTTGT